ACTCACTTGGTAGCCCAGGCTGGCCTCGAACTCACAGAGATCCGCCTGCCTCTGCCTCCCGAGTGCTGGGATTAAAGGCGTATGCCACCACCGCCTTAATGTTTATTTCTACATGCCATTTTTATTACATCTTTTCATTTAGACACAGAGTGGAATATATTTTGTCCACCACTGATGATGAATTTCAAAAGATTTTCTAATGTGTATATTTAGGGTATTAAATATTTAATTAATATAAAATCCTTATACAACTTGGATTTTTATATTTAAATTTGTTCAAGTATTTTATCCATGTATACAGCACTTTCTAATTACTCTCTTCCCCACCATCTCTTAATTTTCTCCCACACCTGCCAACCTCCCTACAAATCCCTTTCCCACATTCTTGTAGTTTTGTTAGAGCTTGTGACTCACTGAGTTTACATTGTTTTAAATTTCACAGGAATCTACAAAGAGAGTAGAGTGCAGTCCTAGATACCATTCACTCATTTCCTTACAGTGGTCAGTCCCACCTACACAGAGTCTAACAATAAGACCAGAACAGTGACATCCATGGAATGTACATATATGGGCATCTGTCACCTCACCTTAGGTGAGTGTGTGTAACCACCGCTGTGACTGAGACACAAAGTCACTTTGTGATAAAAATGATTTTTGTCTTTCTGTCCCTCTGTGGACACCACTATATTTCTCTCTGAATCCTTAATTTGTGGCACTGATTTGCTTTTTTGCAACTCTGCGATTTTATTTTATTTAAATAGAATTTTATATTTATTTTATTTATAATCTCTATATTTGCATTTATTAATATATTTATAATCCATATAAATAGAATTAGATAGTGTTTGGAATTTTGAGAGTAACTTTTTATTTCATTTGGCATAATGTCCTTTAGTTGCATCCAAAGACTCAAGATGTATAAACAATTTCTTTATTTTAATCACTGATTACAGAATAATATTCTAAAAATGGGTCTTCGTGTATGTATTTCTAACTGATATAGATGTTGGATACTGGGGTAGTCCCTTGGAATAATGAGGTACAGAGAAATTTCCATCTTATTAACTAGCAAAAATTAAATATTTGGGCAAAAAATATGTTTCAAAAAATTTTAATCTATTATTTAATATATATAATTAACTTTAATTTCAAATGTAGAATTTGAGAAGTGTTTGAAGGAGCATTCTAAATAATGAAAGCCAAGAACATTTATATTAAGCCATCTGGATTATGTTTCCATTAGAAATCACTCTTCAAAGAAAAATAATAATGTAAAGTAAATTAGATTTTTTAACTGTGCCATGTTGAAGTGTTTGAACTTGTAAATGAAACACTATCTTTTCATAAGTATGATGAATAGAAACATAAATTGGGTAAACTTTGACTTCCCTTCCCAATATGTGTTAATAATTTATAGGCATTAAAATGATACCAAGATCTACCACCTGGTGACAGCTTATCCTAGACACCTCCACAGTGAGTAAATGTTGATAGTAGGTGGTAGTGGTGGTAGTTATCAGTGTGTGTATGTGTGTGTGTGTGTGTGTGTGTGTGTGTGTGTGTGTGTTTCTGTGTGCTCATGCACACATGTGCATATTTACCTCTTTTGATTTGTTAGTCTGGGATTATTTAATCCTTGTGTTTTCTTGAATGAGGTTAACCTCTTTATGTAGCTGAAAGTTTTCCTGTGTAACCCCTGGTCCATAGCAACTCAAACCCAAGTAAACACACAGAGGCTTATAATAATTAAAACTGCTCAGCCATTAGCTAAGGCTAACTATTGACTAGCTCTTACACTTAAACTCAGCCATTTCTGCTAATCATTTTCTGTGGCTTTACCTGTGTGCCATTACATGCTGCTCCCTGGAAAATAGGCTGGCGTCTCCTGACTCAGCCTTCCTCTTCCCAGAATTCTCTGTGTCTGCTTATCCTGCCTATACTTCCTGCCTGGTTACTGGCCAATCAATGTTTTATTAAACCAGTGTACAAAAGCATTATTTCACAGAATCTTTAGGTTGGAGTTTTCCTTCTAAAGCCTTCTGTAGAGCTGGATTTGTAGATAGGTATTGCTTAAATTTGGTCTTCTCATGGAATGTATTATTTTCTTCATCTATTTGTGATTGAAAATTTTGCTGGGTATTGTAGTCTGGGCTTGCATCCGTGTTGGTTAGAATCTGTTGAAAATCTGCCAGGCCCTTCTGTCTCCATTGAAAAGTCAAGTGTTATTCTAATAGGTTTACCTTTCTATGATATTTGGTATTTTTACCTTGTAGATTTTAATATTCTTTCTTTGTTGTATATGTATAGTATTTTGATTATTATGTGCCCAGGGGAATTTCATTTCTGATTTAGACCATTTGATGATCTGTATGCTTCTTCTACCTTGATAAGCTTCTCCTTTTTAGGTTAGGGAAAGTTTCTTCTATGATTTCAATGAAAATATTTTCTGTGCCTTTAACCCGTGTTTCTTCTCTTTCCTCTATTCCTATTGTTCTTTTATTTGGTCTTTTCATAGTGTCCCATATTTCATGGATGTTTTATATCAGCAGTTTATTTTAGATTTAACATTCTTTTTCTCATTTATCATCTTTTTTATTCAGCCAAACATTACAATCAAAGCATTGTACTTCCACATTCAGGATAAGTCTTCTTTCCTGAATTAAACCTTTCTAGAACCACCAACATATACCAAACTAAACATGAGTCTTCTAGGCCATTCCCAGTCCATCAAGTATTTAATGAAGATTAGTCACAATATTGCTTACTTTTGCCATTATCCTATTGTGGTTGATTGAACTGATTTGTGGTATCTTAAGATTTGTGTCCAATGTATTTTTTTTTTAGCTTTAATTGATTCTTTGTGGGTTTTTGAACTGATTTGTGGTATCTTAAGATTTGTGTCCAATGTATTTTTTTTTAGCTTTAATTGATTCTTTGTGGGTTTTACATCATGTATTCCGATCCCACTTATCTCCATGTCCCCTCAAATTCATCCTCTGCCTTTGCCTACCTCCCCCACAAAACCAAACCAAATTTAAAAGAAAAACCCAAAACTAAACAAAACAGAGAAATAAAATAAAACAAAACAAACAAAATTTTTTGACCAAGGTATCCATTTCTCTATTGTGTCTTCAGTGTTTGAGATTATCTCTTCCATGTTTTGTATTCTTTTGCCTCTGTAGTTCCTGTTAGAGTTCCTGAATTTTTCATTTCCTTATTTCCATCAGTTTGGGTTTTCTTTTTTTTTCTTTTATTTTACAATACTATTCAGTTCTACATAACAGCCACAGATTCCCTTGTTCTCCCACTTCCTGCCCCCCTCCCCTTACCCCCCGCCCCCCCCCCCCATTCCCACCACCTTCAGATCAAGGCCACCCCCGAGGACTGAGATCGACCTGATAGACTCAGTCCAGGCAGGTCCAGTCCCCTCCTCCCAGACTGAGCCAAGCGTCCCTGTATAAGTCCCAGGTTTCAAACAGCTATCTCATGCAGCGAGCCCAGGACCTGGTACCACTGCCTAGATGCCTCCCAAACAGATCAAGCCAATCAACTGTCTCACCTATTCAGAGGGCCTGATCCAGTTGGGGGCCCCTCAGCCTTTGGTTCATAGTTCATGTATTTTCATTCGTTTGGCTATTTGTCCCTGTGCTTTATCCAACCTTGGTTTCAACAATTCTCGCTCATATAAACCCTCCTCTTTCTCGCTAATTAGACTCCCAGCACTCCACCCGGGGCCTAGCTGTAGATGTCTGCATCCAGATTCCTCAGTCCTTGGATGGGGTTTCTGGCCAGTTTGGGTTTTCTTTATTGATTCTATTTTCACTTTCAGGTCTTGAAATGTTTTGTTTGTTTGTTTTGAAGTTCCTTCTACTTCTTGTATTTTCCTAGATTTCTTTAAGAAATGTATTTATTTCCTGTTTAAGAACCTCTATCATATCCATAGGGCTGTTTTAAGGTCTTTTTTTTTGTTGTTGTTGTTTCATCTATGTTGAAATTCTCAGGCTTACTTTGGTAGGCTTACTGGTCTCAAGTAGAAACATATTGTCCTGGCTGTTATTGATTGTGTGTTTATACTAGTGTCTAGGGATTTGGGACTGGGAAGATTATAATTTTAGATACTGATATCTGGTCTTGTCTTTGTAGGATGGGTGCTGTGTTCCTTGGTTTCTGTTACCCTCTTTGGTTCTTTGGAGAGTGTGGTGGCTGTGTGTTTGTTGCCTGGTAATAAATTCTTCTTGGATCCTGCTAGGTATTCTGGGTAAAATATGTTTCTTGTTATTGGGAGCTGACACTTAGGAATAAGGATGGGCTAATGTTGATGGATTTTTTTTTTTTTTTACTCTTTGGGAGGCCACCACCTAGCTTCCAAATAAATACCTTGAGACTTATTCTTACTTATAAATGCCCGGTCTTAGCTTGGCTTATTTGTGGCTCTCTTTGCTTAACTTAAATTATTACATCTATCTTTGCCTCTGGCTATTTACTTTTCCCTGTTTTATATACCTTTCTTTTCTTCTTACTATGTGGCTGTGGCTGGTTATGTGGCTGGGTGGCTAGCCCCTGGCTCTGTTGTAGAATATTAGTTAAGGATGTGTTAACATTCATTTATGCCATGAAATATTTGTTTAATGATGCAAAGAATGTATTGCACTCTTTTATGTTGTATTTGTTTAACTCTGTGAAACTGTGCTCCTTTGCCTGTCTAAGACACCTAATTGGTCTGATAAAGAGCTGAACAGCCAACACATCTTTGTATCATTAAACAAATATTCCATAGTATAAATGAATGCAACACATCTTTAATATTTCACAACAAGCCAGTAGTTAGTTGAGGGGGTCCACAGGAGGGAGAAAACTAGTCTGTTCCATCAAAATTTTCTTAGTCTCTTGGGATTGGGGACAGAGAGTGAGGAGAGGCCACAATAGGTAGTCTGCTGCAGGCCTTTGGATGATGCTAGGATATTGGATTTGGAGGAGAGGAGACATAGTGAAGATCTGCAGTTAGCCTACCTGCTTCACTGTCAGGTTTGGAAGGGAGATTTTCAGGGAATGCCTGGTGGAGTTGAGGGCTAGGATAACAATATGAGGAGTTGGAAGGTTGGAGGACAAGGTCTACTTGCTTCACTAGAGATGGTGGCAGAGAGCAGGGGAAGTTGAAGGAAGTTGTCTGCTACCAAGTTGGGAGTTCGGCTGGGAGATTGGATTTTGAGGAGAGGACAGGGAGGTAAAGATCTACTTTATTTTTTCTCAACTTCTATTGATTCTCTGTAGATTTCACATCATGCTTCCCAGTCTCACTTATTCCCCATCCCCTTGCTTCTGTCCTTTGCCTGAGCAACTTCCTCCCATCACCCCTACCAGAAAACCAAAAATTTAAATAAAACACTCAAAATCAACCCTCCCCCAAAAGGAGAAGAATTTCATTGTGGAAGTTTTAGTGTGCCCTTGTTGAGTCACACAGTTTACCCTTTAGTCCATTCACCTTTACTTGTAAGTGTTCATTGCTATGAGTCATTGGTCTGGTTAGAGGCTTCTGGCTTTTGGGGCTCCCCTTGGATATTCTGTTGTTGTCCTAAGTTTGGAGATCCTGCAGTTTTGGATCTGTAGGTTTGTCCCCTTTACATGCTCCAGCATGTAGTAGATGTAGTGGATGTTGGGGTGGGCTAACTCATAGTCCTGGTTTGGGGCCTTGGTGGTAGCTGGGTTGGTCAGCCCACTAGCTTTCCCTCATGGTCACTGCCCAAGTGAACTCTCCTGCACTGCCTGGGCTAGCTCACCCAATGCAACCTGCAGCAAGGGGCTAGACCAGTTCTCCTGTTCTCAGGTTCCAAGATCAGGCACACTTACACTCACATCACCAGGGTCAGTTCTACTGTTTTGCCCAGGAGGATCTGCTTTTAACCTACTTTCTTCCCTGGGTGGAATGGCTGTTGGTATCAAGGGAATGCCTTCTAAGGTTTGGGGATGGGATGATGGGATGTACTGAGGGAAGGAAGTTTGGAAGGAGACAGGAGGAGAAGAGGTGAAGGGGAAGCTGCAGCAGGTGGTCTGCTGCAGAGCTGGGGATGAGACTGGGGGATTGGACTTGAAGGAGAGGATGGAGAGGAGAAGAACTGCAGTTAGTCTACATGCATCTCTGGTGGCTCTCATACAGTTTCTGTAGAAATTGACAAAGTTCTTAGAAAATATTATAAGACAGATATTAAAAAGGATAGGAAAATAAACTAAAAATAAATTCTAAAACTTATTACATCGGGAATTCTACATGAGGTATCATGATACCCTGGTTCATTGTGTGCAGACTGGGAAACGGACCCACATGGGTTTATATAGAGACTAGAGGAAACAAAATCAGGCACTGGAGAAGACCACATCTTCAACAAATGGTGCTGGTCAAAGTGGTTAGTTGGATGTAGAAGAATGAAAATACATCCATACATCCCACATAAAACTCAACTCAAAATATATCAAGGACCT